TCAAACCTGTGTCCCACAGTCCCAGCACTGCATATTCCTCACCACTCAGCCCAGAGCTCCCTGGATAGCCAGGTGTGGATATGGGAAGGGTGCAGATGCAGACGGGGCTGAGCTGCAGTCAAGCACCCACTCTCCACAGGGCACACGTAGGGAACTGCATGTACTGGACACAGAATAAACTCATTTTAACTGAGGCTTATGCCAAGATACTTCACTCAAGAGTGCATCATAGCCCATTGCTGACAATAATTCATTTATGCAGTGATTTGTCCTCTAGGAAACACCTCTCCCTGTTCCTGGCTCTGCTCAGTGCATGCACCCAGGAACTCACTCTCATCCACTTCAGCTCTCCGTGCTGGCAGCCACCGGCCTCTCTTCTACCCTGTCATGTGAAACATAGCTGCAAAACTGATTTTCCTCACTTCTCCTTCAGGTTGGGATTAAATCATACCTGTTTCAGGGAAACACTTCATTAAAAACACGTGTTCCCAGTGGGAAGACCCTACAAAAGGCTCAACTCTTTCCTTCCTGTCCGCTTGGATGCAAGCGAGCTGATCTGCACTTTGCCAAGTTGCTAGCGACTCATTTGGGTCCATCTTCCCTAAAAAAGGAGATCCAACAGGGAAAACAATATTAAACGTCTTTTAAAGACTCATATTTGCAGCAGATCAGGCTCAAGCCTCCCTCCATATCATTATTACTTTTGGTTTCTCATGCAAAAAGAGCCGCTGGTTCCCACTGGATCAGTGTCCCACACTACCCTGTCCTGAGGCATCCAGAAAGGGTGAACAGGCATCTCCCTTTGCTAGGATCTCTGCTTTCATGCTCTCCAGGAGCCATGCAGAGCCCAGAGAACATCTCAGCTCCTGCCTTCCCCTCCTGGCTGTGCTTTCAGTTGTAAATAGCCTACACAGAGAGGGGTGGGACTGGCCTGGAGGTCTCTGTGCTGCCAAGGGGAGGGTTCCCCATCTCCCATCTGCACACCCCAGGGTGGAGACAGGTTTCCAGCTGACACTGTTGGTTCCGTGTGGGAAGCTCGGCTGCCTCACCCAGAGCTGAGGCCTTCCCAGCATTTCAGCTGCTTCTGATACAGGAGTCGCCGACTGGAGCGGCTCTTCCGTGCTCCCTCAGTGCTGCTCTGGGCTCCTTTATCCTGTGCTAACTTCCAAGATACTCTCCTGCACTGTCGCCTTGTTTCCTTTGTGAAAGCAGAGAGCTCGCTAATCCCCCTCTGCCCACGTCACAGTCCTAATGCTCAACCTGGGCTTCCATCACAACTCCATAATCCTGGCTCGCCCCCAGCCATCAGCACGGCTCCCTTTGGCTGGACAGAGAACTGCATTTGGATTTTGGGATGGAGAAGGGCAAGAGTCCCTGTAGGCTCCTCTTAGTGCCCATTTCTGTGTTACCCGACCACCACCAGGCACATTAGTGGCCCCAGGAGCATCTCCAGCAGCAACAGGGATGAGATACATCAGTAAAACCTGCTTAGGGGCTGGGAAAAGGGCAGCAGTTGCCACTTGTGAGGACTAAGGTGGAGAAACAAGGACTCATTGGGTCTGGCTGTGCCTAAATCAGGTCTGTTAAATTAATTCCCTGGGCACAGCTTGATTGCACATTTTCCACTGCCACTTCTTCCCAACACCAGCTTTTTCCGCTGTACCTCCTTCCGTGTCCTGTTTTAAACCCCAGCTTTGAGCACACCACCCCTCTTGCCTTCAAACCACCCCCTCAAAATGCCACACACTGCACAAAACCACAACAACCCCGAGCTTGTGATCACACAGAGACCACGAAACCAGCCTTCCTCGGGCAGGGAGTCTGCTCTGTCCTTCCCAGGCAGCACTGTGCTCTGCTACAGCCCCACACAGGTACTGCTTAGGCAAAAGCTTCATCAATATTTCAGGCTGAAGCCAGGAAGCCTGTAGCTCACACAGCTTTCAAGGCCCTGATCAGATCAATGCCAAACAAAAGGCTGCAGTATGAAGATGCTCCAGCAAGCGAGGCCCAGGCTGCGGGCTGGCACTGCCGCCCAACGCCGATCCAGTGTCTCTCCTCTGGCCCCGGCGAGCTGGGATGGCTCCAGCACCAGCCCATCCCATGGAGCTGCCCATAGCACAGTTCCTCTTACAGGAGCATTTTCAGGTTCCAGCTGACTTCAGAACTGGTGCTGTTACAATCCCCTTCACTTGCTTTGAATATTACTTTGCTTTAATGCCAGCCACTTAAGAACCAAACATCTGAGGCTCAAACTGTGGGGTCATCGATTCCAGCGTCCCCACTCAGAGCAGATGCTCCAGAGCAGCAAGAAAACCATAATGCACTTTAGCTAGTTTGACACTGCATGGGAGCAGGAGATCTTATTTCCCTCGGCTATAAATGTAACTGATCAGAAGATTATCCACAGCCCTTTTGCAGTTCAGCCATACTCCTGGGCTCCCTGTTCCCTGCAAGACTGAATTCAGCTCTAGCTTCTGAGACATCCATGAACATAAAGAAGTTGCCTCTTTTTAGCCCTCTTTGTTCTCTGGTATCACTTAATTATTATTCAGATGCCAGAGAATGGATAGGGAAAATACCATATCAAGATAGAAACCAAAAAGAGGATCATTACATCTAATGGCTAAAATCAGGGATGAAACACCTTACCTGACCTCAAGCGATTCTGTTAAACTACTGTCTCCTTTCCCTATCAATAAGATGGGATAAATGTATGTCCCTTCCAGGGAAAGTGGTGTGGGTGAGGGATTGGAATCCCTCAGAAAGCACCTACAGAAAATGTATGCCCCTCCCAGGGAAAGTGGTGTGGGTGAGAGATTGGAATCCCTCAGAAAGCACCTACAGAAGGGCAAGAGCATTCCTAGAGAGAAGCATTTATTGGCAACACCAGCAAATGAAGCCTTTGCAAGCAATAGTGAGCAGGTGGAATTTGCTGGTTAACACCATTATGGCTCTGGCAGACATTTTCCCCCTCTCCTTCCTGCAACCAGTTGCACCAAATCACTCCCCATTTCATCTCCCCCACCAGAAGGGCACTGCATCAAATAACCAAGGAGGATGCTCACACTCACACCCTGGGCTTCAGAGTAGGGAGAAGACAGACAAATCCTCCCTGCCAGAGCCAACGCTGAAAATCCATCTGCTCTCCATCCCCAGACAGAGACAGGAGGAATAGATACCAACATCTCCTGCTTCCCTAAGGGAGATATATTAGCTGGTTACGTAATAAAACTAACAGCATGGTGCTTCCAAGGACTCCTGTGCCGACAAAGCCCTTCCCCTAATGCCACCAGAGATTAGAGCAAATCGAAGAGGAGTGGAAGCAAGGCGAGGGGCTGCGGGTGAGGTTTTGCACAGAGGAGAATGCTGCAGCCTCTGCCCTTAATGCACTTGAAATCCCATCTGATTTCCATCTCTGCTGCTAAAAAATAGAAAGGAGAAAAAAGAAAAGGACAAAAGAAAAAGCATTAAAATGGTATTAATAGTGGGTGAGTGAGGCAGAGTGACTCAGGAAGGAGTGTTGTTCAGGGGAAGCATCCAGAGGAATCCAGCCCATGAAAGCACTTTGGATGCGGACCAAAAGGAGTCAGGGGCGCAGATCTGCTAAAGGACTCTAGCGTGCTTGGACAAATCTGATTAGTTGCTGGTTTTGAGCATCCAGGGTCAGATCCTTCCTTTGATAAACACACGGCACTTATCCCCCTCGTGCCGGGCTGCCGGCAAAGCAGAGCACAGCACAACCCTCCTCTTCCCTCTCAGTGTCAGATGCATTCCCACCTCCGAGCACAGGGGTTTCACTTCATTTCTGCTCCCTCTTCAGGCTGGCTGACTCCACAGCAAGAAACATCAACTCGAACACCCCGAGTAAAATGACTCTTCCCTTCACTGCCCTGTTTTTGCTGCAAACTAAATCGTGATGTTGTAAAACGGGCACGTTTTCTGTGAGAGGAGGATTTTGATGGAAGTCAAAGTCGAGGTCTCATCTAGCCAGAAGCCTGCTTTACATGCAAAGTGACAAGGTAAGGAGCAATGGCTCTGCCACCCGACTGCACATGCTTGTTCCCCCTTTGACAACTGCAGTCTGAACAGCCCCATCCTCAAGGTGACATTTCTTTTCACCTTCACACTTTACATCCTTTTTGAGCTTATTTTGACATACCTCCATCCATGTAACTGAAATAACCAGTGAGTTTCATCTCTGAACTTCGAAAGCACTTGGTAAAGGCATCAGGCAGAAGTACAGCACAACTGGAGGCAGTGGATGAGCACCAACTAGATATGTTCATATGTTCCAGTATCACCTCTTGAACTTACTGGTTTATTCGCTACAAGCTTAATTTGAACAACTGCAAAAGTCACCAGACTTGGCAGAAGAGACATCCAGGTAATAGGTGAGAAAAGCTACAAAGAATCCCTAGAACTAAGCCATTGACTATGATGGCAAGACGGAAAACAAAGCAGGAGGCAAACAACCTGATCCTGACAGCTGAGGGATGACTTGGAAGGTGTCACCCAAGTAGAAAAGCGACAGTAGCTCCAGAGCAGCCACCAAGCACACAAAAATAGTCTTGAGAAAGGAAGGAAATGAGTGGGCAATAAAGTGTTGGTCATACTCTCTGCCACCTCACAGTGAAGAGTGTCGGAGATGAGTTTAACATGGCACTGACTCGTTGTGTTAGTTGGCCAAGTCTGGTCCTCCCTGTGCTAGGCATTGTATAGATGCAGAGTGGGGAGCAGTCTGCCCTTAAAACCTAAGGCTAAAGAGCAAGCTGGCAGAAGGAGGAAAAGAGCAAAGCCACCAGCACTATGGAAGTAAACAAGAAGTTAGTGCTACCATTCTGTTGTGACATTCCAAGTCACAACCTACTTAGTGACCATCTGCACTGAGGGAGAACTATGTGACTAGCAAACCTGTGGTATTTTAAGTAAAAGAAAGGAAAACCCCTAGCTGAGAGCACATTAAAACCCCAGAGAGAGGAAAAACTTCCCAGCAGCCTTACCATTGGCATCTTGAACTCCAGTAAGCGCTCCTACTGCTGCTGCAGTTTCACCTGACAGGACAATTTGTCCTCCTCCTTGAAGAGTGGCTTCAGCAAGCGTGGCTACTGCATGGGCAGCTGCTTCACTGTGGGCACAGGAAAGGAGAAAGAAGGGTTAGGAAGGCCAAACAAAGAAATAACTCCACTCTAATAGCATCCATTTTTAACCAGGCAACATGTACAAACAGAACAAATGCAGAAAGGAAGGATTGGGATTCTCCGGGATTCCCAGGTCGCCCAAGGAAGTTGTGAATGCCCCATCCCTGGCAGTGTTCAAGGGGAGGTTGGACACAGGGGCTTGGAGCAACCTGGGCTAGGGGCACGGGGTTGGAACTGGATGAGCTTTAAGGTTCCTTCCAAACCAGACCATTCTATGATTCTTACTGTGCCCAAATGAAGTTACTCGGAGCAGAAAACCTACAGTGGAGGAGGAATATATGGGAAGAAGCTGCTTCCACTGGCTTTTTCCAGCTTACACATCTCGTAGTCAGAACATCCCTGCCTTCCCACCTTCATATCCTTTTACTTGGGACTTCACTGAAGCTTTCAGTCAATCCAAGTACTTATATATACACCACGTGGCTCCTTCCTGCCTCTGATTTCTGGTACAAAACTCATTCTTTTGGCACTGTCACGTTCTAGGTCCCAACAGATTTGGGAGCTCCCCCCTTCACTACTGATTCTGCCAGTTGACCTTGCACTGAAACAGGCCCAGAGGTTCACCGGGATCACATCGGCAGCTCTGTATTTAGCCAAGATGGAGCACTGCTCCTCAGCTTAGCACAGTGTTGTTAAAGTTCTCCATACAAATGAGGTCAGACATTTAGGAAGAAGTGTGCATGATCCGTCCCTTCCTACACCCTCTCAGCTTCCATCACTCAGTGGTGTATTGATTTCCTACATCAGAGTCTGCATCTGGGCCATCAGGTTTGATTTGTTAATCCTGTTTGAAACCCATTTATACTTCCTACTTCCACAACATCCTGTAGCAATGAGGTCCACATTTCATTAGGTGCTGTGTGAAGAGAAAATGCATCAGGGTACTCCAGAAAGCAGTGCCTCAGTCTGGGCAGCCTTTAACTGTGTGAGAAACAAAATAACTGTGCCCTTTTTGTTCTCATGATTTCACAGACTTCCAGTCATCTCCTTCCCAAGCTGCGGAGCCATAGTTCAGTTGTTGTGCAAGGATTTTTCCTGGCTTCTGATCATTTTGCCTTTTCCAGACTTTTTCTAATGTAAGCTATCTGTTTGAGGGGGGGGACCAGTTCTCATACTATTCAAGCTGTAGACAAACCAGGACTTAGTTCTGGGGTCCCCAACATCAGAAGGACATGGAGCTGCTGGAGCAAGTCCAGAGGAGGCCACGAGGATGCTCAGGGGCTGGAGCAGCTCCCGTATGGAGCCAGGCTGAGAACATTGGGGCTGTTCAGCCTGGAGAAGAGAAGCTGCGTGGAGATCTCAGAGCAGCTTCAGTTTCTGAAGGGGGCTACAAGGATGCTGGAGAGGGACCTTCATCAGGGACTGGAGTGATAGGACAAGGGGTGATGGGTTCAGACTGAAACAGGGGAAGTTCAGGTTGGAGATAAGGCAGAAGCTCTTCCCTGTGAGGGTGCTGAGGCGCTGGCACAGGGTGCCCAGAGAAGCTGTGGCTGCCCCATCCCTGGCAGTGTTCAAGGCCAGGTTGGACACAGGGGCTTGGAGCAACCTGCTCTAGTGGAAGGTGTCCCTGCCCGGGGCAGGGGTTGGAGCTGGAGGAGCTTTAAGGTCCCTTCCAACCCAAACTACTCTATGATTCTAAGTTAGTCCAGGGGCCTAATCCTTGCTTGTTCTCTACACCTTTCCCTATAATTCCTAATATTCAGCTTACTCTTTTGACAATACTTATTCCATCAGTGATAAAACATTCCTGGAGGATAGTCCCCTGGATGCTTTCTGAATGGTAACTTGCAGCATATAGTCCCTCGTTGGAGATACTTCTATGTGCATCACTTGCCATTTCTTGATGTCATATTTCATTTCCCATTTGGATGCATCAGCAGAGTGCTGTGAGCATTCTTAAGCAGCTCTCCAGACTTCTCCAGACCTGCTGGATGACTATTAACCACTTCTGGTGACCTGCTGCTAATCACAAAGTTATTCCAAAGCCTCCTCCTCCCTGCAGCTGAATCTCCTACCATTTCTTACCTTAATGAACAAAAAAGGAGGTATTTTCTCTAGCTTCCCATAAGATGCTCTTCCTTAACTCATTCTCCAGTAGACCAACTGACACAAATATTATCCAAGTGCTTCCCACTTGTTCTTTCTCTGTCCTGATTTCCTGCTTAGATGCTGTTCACATTCCAAATATATTCACACAGGGTGTATTTTCATTTCTGTCTCTCAGAGTAACTCTTTATTAATGAACCAGAATATTTTCTTGCTCTGCTTTCTTACTCCCTTTGGCTGATCTCCCTCCTGAACCTGCAGCTGTCTGAAGGCATTTACACTGCAGGAAGGCCAACCCCAGCACAGCAACCCTGGGGTAAGCATGCATTTACTGGTGGAACCCTGTTTCCCAGACTCACAGCACTCAGCTGAATCCACCTGCAAGGACAACTGAGCACTTTAATCATCTGGTACAGCTGCATCCCTGGAAATGATAATGATGTGCAGCATAAAAGCTTTTTCCAGTCAGTGTGTTCCACAGACATTAACTGGTTCCAATCAATGAATTAATTACCCACCTCCACTCTGTTCTCTGTTACTAGAAGGTTTAATACTTTCCATCCTCAAAGCTGATAGAGTTTACACCATCCATCATGTCGTGCTGTTGGCAAATGTGCTGCTCTGTGTGGGGCTGTGAAAGACTCTGCTCTGTCAGCAGCCATTGCAACAAGGTTCAGAGATTGTAGAATCATGGAAACACCTGGGTTGGAAAAGCCCTTCAAGCTCATCCAGTCCAACCATTCCCAGCACTGCCAAGGCCACCACTAACCCAGGGCACTGGGGCCTCGGCTACATGAGAGCAGCTTTCAGCTAATTAGGCATGAAGTTTCCAGAACTAGGATGAGCCACCAGCTTTGAATGACCAGAGTCTTGCTGAGACCTTCCTGCAGGCAGGGAGAAGACTCCTACAAAAAGTCCTACAGCTGGAAGCTACAAGGAGCATTTCGTGGCAAAGAAAAAAGTACACCTCTTCTACATGAAAGGGTGTCGGAGGATTGTCACCTAGAAAGGTCTCCTGCACTTACTGTGGTAAGTAGATAAAGAGGGTAACAACAAGTTGGCAAATTAAACAGGACAGGAGAAGGGGAATGGCTTTAACCTGCCAGAGGGGAGATTGAGATGAGCTCTTGGGCAGAAGCTCTTCCCTGTGAGGGTGCTGAGGCGCTGGCACAGGGTGCCCAGAGAAGCTGTGGCTGCCCCATCCCTGGCAGTGTTCAAGGCCACGTTGGACACAGGGGCTTGGAGCAACCTGCTCTAGTGGAAGGTGTCCCTGCCCGTGGCAGGGGTTGGAGCTGGAGGAGCTTTAAGGTCCCTTCAACCCAAACCAGGCTGGATTTTGTGATTCTGTGATTTCCACTGCAATACTGCTGCAAACTTCACATTGCTCCTCAACTACAGCTGTTTGACCAGACTTGTCACAGCACTGGCCTGGGTATAAAGAAAGCTGATCCTGTCCTGAGGCACAGTAGAGACTAATCTGAATTCCTTAAGCTAATGCTAGTGGAAGGTGTCCCTGCCCAGGACTAGGGGATCTTTAAGGTCTGTTCCAACCCAAACCCTCCTCTGATTCTGTAATGCAGGAAAAGGAACAGGTCATTGAGATCTTAAGAGCTACAACTATGAGCAATGAGATGAAATCAAAGTCAGATTCCAGGAGATGTGGCTTCCCCTGCAACTCCATGCCTAGTTATTTTAGCTCTTCTTCTTACAGTGTCCTGAAAGATCACTTGTTTTAAAAGGCAGTTTTGCAGTGAAGCTATTAGTAAAAAAGCCCATTTAACCAACCTTGTATGGTAGCAGAAAAGAATCTGGACCACGAAGAGAAGGAACAGTTCTAGCTGTGTTTGTGATTCAGTGGCAACAGCAGTTTGGAAGCAAGCTGTTGAAAGCCCCAAAGCAGCTCCTTTAGCAATCTTTACATCTAACAAGGTCTTGGAGCTTTACTCCAACCATCAGTGTGGGCTTGTGCCTCCTCCTAACCCATGGCTCCTCAGTCAAGAGCCCCTAGACCAGAATCCTGATTTGGATGAGGAAAATACCTGATCTACACCTCAGCAGTGTGAAACCTCCCATGCTGCTGGGACTGATGCTGTGTTTCCTACAGTCCTCCTGCTCTCTCGGGGTGAGCTGTGGAGTGCCACGCAGCAGGCAAAGCTTAAGCAACTCACCAGAGCTGAGCAGAGACACTGCTTCCTGCAGCATGGACCTGTAGAGAACTATGCTGCAGATCTTGGTAAGCTGAGTACAACCAAAACTCTAAGAGAGCTTGTTCCAAGATGAAGCAGCAGCATTACTATTGCAGCTTGTTCACCTTTTACTTCAGAAACACATTAGGGAGAAACCCCCAAAGCACTGACCTCTGGAGGAGGTTCTGATTTCTGAAGAGAGAGCACACTGCCACACAACAGGGCAGTTCAGCCTTAGCCTTTTAGTAGGAACCATTATAATGCTGAGGGAGACCCAGACAAACCTATTTCAGGTGCTATTAGCACATCATGACTCTTGCTTGCTTAGCAAGCTCAGTTCCGTAACTGGACCCTTGCTGTACAAATGATTAGAGAGCAAAGTTACTACCCATCTTTTCCTACGTCAGGGAAGTTCCGTGTAGTGGTGTCCTGTGATTACACTGGAAATCAGGAACTGACCTGCAGATACCTGGACACCCACAGACACAGGAGTATGCAAAGCCTTTTCCCAGGAAAGCCTTTCCTGGGACTGTACCCAGTGGTCTTTGCACCATTAGAGTGAAAACCTGGGAGGAAATGTCATGCACGTGTGCTTCAAGCCTTCGTCTCCCAGCCATACCTGTTGAGTGCCATGGTAACAGTTGCTCCTTGTTGCATCTCCTGAGATGCTGCCACTGCTGCTTCTGCTAACGATGCCACCGCCTGCGTGGCCTCCGATGCCTGCGTCGTCTGGATCGTCATCTCACCCCCCTGTAGCGTGGCCCAGTTCTGCTCCACCTAAGGGAAAACCAAAAAGAGAGGCCTCAGGGTTGGATCTGCCCCATAAGCAGGTGGCTGTGCACTAAAGTGAAAGAGCCTGAGAGTTTTAAGAGGTCTTTGCAGAATCCTGCACATGCTCTGACTTGAGAGACAGGTAAAAGAGGGAGGAAGTGTGGGATCCACCTGAGAACATCGCTGGGCACTGCAACCCTCGGCCCCATCAGCCGTGACAGTGAGTTTCTATAGTCAGCCCATGATTTTAGCTGCTGTTCTCCATATGTCCAACCTTCAAACAAGAACTCTGCTTTTCTCACGCACATGCAAAGCACACCCCATAAGCATCAGTGAAGCCCCTCAAATCCCACAAATCCCTCTTATCCAGCCAAGTCCACAACAAAAAGGGACAGTGTTGACCATTGCTGTACTCTGATCACTGCCTGACAGCCTGGGCACTTCAAGTAGCCACATGCAGTGCTGGGACTCCAGCATGGATCATGTCCTGCAGGGATGCACTTCCCTCACTGCTTCTATTTGCTCCCATCCGCTGTCACTTTGGGGAACAATCCCTGTTCCCATTCAGGGTTTATCTGTACAGCACTTGTGAGCTCAGATGGGTTTGAGCTATCCAGAATTTCTTTGTGCTGCAGCAATATACTTAATAAAAGAAGATGACAGATGGGAAGTGCTCTGTTCATGTATCTCAGCTACTTTCAATTCCCTTACTTCAGACCTTTACATAGACAGGTTACACATTACTTAAAAGTTCACCCAGTCTCAGTTGTTCATTCGCCCACATTTGTCCATTTAGGACTTGACAGTTCATGAAAAAATGAGTGTATGGCCCCAAAATCCACCATGATGTGAACTAGGAAAACACATTGGACCAAAACAATTAAAGAAGTGGAGGATGAAGGTCCATCAGCTGAGAAATCCTCCTGCCTGCTTTGCAAGATGATCTTCCCCCACCCTCCCATCACTGTTCTCAGCCCCATAAATGTCTCAGGCTACTCACCATCCTGCTGAGACACACAAATAAGAATGCCACAGAAGGTGGTGAAAAACTAAAGCCCAAACTCAATATGTTAAGATGGAGAAAGCTAAAAAGTCCATAGAGGCAGAGCTGGCTGACGGCTCAAGTAAATCTTGCTGCCTTTGGGCAAGAGAAGGGTTAGTCCCATCAGAGGATGGAGAGGGAGAGAGACTCTGTCGCGCTCTCACTCACATCTGCTATCACACACTCCTCAGCAGCTGCCAGTCTGGTTTTCCAGCACTTGGGCACAAGCAAAGCTGGCGCGCGTCGAAGCTCTTTGGCCATCCCCAGCCGTCTGACGTTCAAGGCAACTGCTTCATTCTCCTGTGCCCAGAGTTGACCCTGGGCGGAAGGATCCAAAGCAGGGAGGAAGCAGTGAGAAAGTGCATTGCAAAAAGGAGAAAGGCAGCTGATTTTAGAGAAGGCAACGTCTTTTAGGAGAGATGCAATCAAGTCGGAGTGCCCAGAGAGCAAGAATTGCAGGGGGTGAAGACCTCAAGAGAGTCAGATCGAGTCTGTGGTACTCGTTAGCCATGCCAAAACCAAAACGAAGTGAGCCTGAACTGGAAAAGGACACCCTTCCCACCACCATGCACAAGAGGAACAGACATACATATTCCCAATACATGGCAACACACATTTGCATGATAAAGCGGGTCTCCACTTTGACATACTGTCCCCTGCAAAGATGCCTACTGCTGCTCCGGGACAGAGCAAGGCCTGGAAAAGAAGGGGGGACTGTCCAGGCCCTTCACACTAACACAAGGGCTGTGCTGCTGAGATACTAGTGAGCATCCCTGCTCCATGCTGCTTAGTGTCCTACAAACACATGGATTTACTCAGAGCTAACTCAGATCTTCACACAGCAAGAGACAGCAGGACACAAACATCCCTGGAGAGGCTGCCAGCAGGCTGTGGGTCTGTCTCTGCAGACAAGCAGCACTCACCCCCAGAGCAAGCTTACTTTTGCATCTTGATTTTGGCCAAGACATCCCTGAGGTGTCCTGTTCACGTTAGGGATTAGATGCCTGTGTTGCTCTGATTCCTATTTGTGCCTTTGAAAAGTTCTTTCAGATCCGAAGAGATAAAACTGGTCCTTGAAAACCACGAAAGCAGCTGCAAAGCGCTGCAAGGTCACAGCCCCAGAGCAGTTTCCCTGCGGGGCTGGGCTGGAAGCAGCGGCTGGTGCAGAGCAAAGCTGTTCTGTGCTGCCCCCTGTCGCCACGCAAACGCATCGTGAGAGAGGACCGGACCTCACTGTCCAGCCAGGAGTTCTGCTCTGCAGCCAAGGGACAGGAGTGACCTGATGTAAAGGGGGTTTGGGGCTGAAGAGGGTAAAATAATATTAATAACAAAAATCTTCATAATCATATAATCATGGGATGGTTTGTGTTGGAAGGGACCTTAAAGCTCCTCCACCTCCAACCCCTGCCCCGGGCAGGGACACCTTCCACTAGAGCAGGTTGCTCCAAGCCCCTGTGTCCAACCTGGCCTTGAACACTGCCAGGGATGGGGCAGCCACAGCTTCTCTGGGCACCCTGTGCCAGCACCTCAGCACCCTCACAGGGAACAGCTTCTGCCCAAGAGCTCATCTCAATCTATCTTCTTTCAGTTTAAAACCATTCTCACTTGTCCTATCACTGAAGGTCCTTGTCCAAAGCCCCTCTCCAGGTTTCTTGTAGCCCCTTTAAGCACTGGAAGCTGCTCCTTAAGTCTTAAAGGCATGTTTCTTAAACACACAAAAATACTTTATTACTCTATTAAAAAAAGCAAAAATAAATGTATGCAAATTTAGGAATCACAATGGCCTGATCGGGTCCTCGACAGAAACAACTTTGCCAAGTTGCAAAGCAGTGGAAGAAACTCTAACAGTAAATGGAACAGTAACTCCAAGTATCTGCTGCTGTCTCTATACTACTACACATTTACACAGCGCTCTCTGGGATTTCCTTGCAAACCTCCCTAAAAGCTGCAGCAAGGGAAGAGTCCCATTTAGCTGGAAATCAGTGGCCAAAGATGCATAGGAATTACCCACAGCCACGCAATATCCTTTGCTAACCACAGGCTCAGTTTTCCCAGGCATCACTGCCAACCCTGACCTGACAAACACGGATCCGCAGCACACATGGAATGGTTATTCAAGATGAATACACGGATGTGTATTTGTGTATGCCATTAAATCTCTATCTGCTACTGTAGATATCACAAAATAAATAACCTATAGGAGATACATATAAGGAAATGGGAAAATCAGAACTGAGGCTTCCACCATAGTTGCATTTGTACAGTCCTGAGTCCAAACGACCACAGTTCAGCTCCTCAATAGAGTCTTGTGTATGTTAACACACAAGGAGGGGAAGCAAGGCTTGGTGTTTCCTGTGACACCGAATTCATGGAAACACTTCACTCCCCTGAAGTTCAGGCAGGGTAATTCAGGTTTGTGCCCCACAGACACGAGCCAGGTCCTTACCTCCCAGTCAGCAACTGCAGAGTAGTTCACTTGTGCGACGGTGACTGTGGTGGGCAGCTCTGAGGCATCAGCCAACGTGGCAACGGTGGCACCGGTGCCCACCTGTGGGAGTCAACAAAACGCAGTGATTACATTTGTTACTGCAGGAAAATGGCCTGGTTCAGGCAAAGGGACACTCAAATGTTCCCAGATTCAAAAGCATCACACCCACAGGAGTATGGTCTGAGCAGTAACTGCAGAGATCACAGAAACAGGGAGCTGTCTTGAAGGGCTGGTGGAGGAAATCATCGTATCATGGCACGGTTTGGGTTGAAGGGACCTTAAAGCTCCTCCAGCTCCAACCCCTGCCCCGGGCAGGGAACACCTTCCACTAGAGCAGGTTGCTCCAAGCCCCTGTGGCCAACCTGGCCTTGAACACTGCCAGGGATGGG